TTTCAAAGATAGCTTTTACAAAGTAAGTTTAGTAACAGGTGAATTTTTACTATTAAATTTAGTAAAATAACTCCACAATTTCAGTTTTACTAAGAAAACTTAGTAATAATCACTATTGCAGTTTCAGTTTACTAAGAAAACTTAGTAATAACTGTCATTGCAGCTTCAGTTTTATTAAGAAAACTTAGTAATAACTACCATTGCAACATCAGTTTTACTAAGAAAATTTAGTAATAACCGCCATTACAGCTTCTGTTTTACTAAAAAAACTAAGTAATAACCGCCATCTCAGCTTTGTAACAATTTTATTAGTAAAAAATATTTCCAAAGTTGCAAACGCATTTTTTTTACTAGATTTCTTAATAAAAATGTTTCCAAAGCCACAGAGGTGTTTATTACTATGTTTTCTTAGTGAAATAGCGTCTCTAAAGCTGCAGATGCGTTTTTTACTATATTTTCTTAGTAAAATAACGTCTCTAAAACTGCAAAGGCATTTTTTACTATGTTTTTCTTAGTAAAAAGGCATTTCTGAAGTTGCGAAGGTATTTTTTACTGTTTTTCTTAGTAAAAAGGCATTTCCGAAGCCATGAAGGCACTTTTTACTATGGTTTTCTTAGTAAAAAAGGCATTTTTGAAGCTGCAGAGACATTTTTTGCTATAGTTTTCTTAGTAAAAAAGGCATTTCCAAAGCTGCGAATGCGCTTTTTACTATGATTTTCTTAATAAGAGCCACTTCTGAAGCTTTTAGATGGCTTTATTATTGATTTAAATCAAATCAAATATTTAAATACTTGATTTGAATTTGATCGAATTGAATCAAACATTAATTTGGATTTGATCAAATAAATCATTTTTTGATTTGAATTTGATCGAATCAAATCAAATATAAATTTGTATTTGTATTTGATTTGATTTTTAAATTAAATATTCAAATATCAAATCGAATTGTAGAACCCTAACCACTAATGATCAGGAATTATTAGAATTACTTGCAAATAGAGCTAATAATCTGAATTATGGTTATATTTTCAACCTTTTTTGATAATATCATGAAACTGCATTTAGCAGTTGTAATGGTAAACAAATGTTTGAATATTTAGCGAAAGTCATTAAAGATTACAATAACTCAAGTTGAGGTATTACGGCTTTACAAGAATATAATGTGAATATTGAAAAAGCATTTATTTTATGCATCGTAACTAATTTGATATGTCAAGTGCATCAAAAAATATGACAAGCTAATGAGTTATGTTACATGAATGCAGGTATAAATTTTATAATATAGAATTTCTTTTTTTTATAATTTTTTATTTATTAACTAGTATAATTAACTTTTTTATTTTCTAATATCATTTTTTTTTAATATAATAGCTAAAGCTCTCACATTTAGATTATTTATTATCTCAGATGAACTTGAAATCACATTAGAAAAGACAATCAACTTACTAAAGATGATTCTTCCATAAGATGACTTTTTGAATACAGACCGTAAGTTAGTCTGATGGTTTTCTGACTGATAATTCAAGTTCAAAGCGTAATGCTTTAGAGTTATGTTAATCGCAAGGTTTATTTCATAATTATTTCCTAAATATAATAAAAATATAATGAAGTTTAATCCAAATTAAAAGGAATTCAATTTTTATGTATATTTCATGTTTTACAAGCATTTTGAAAGTGGATACATGATTCAAAACATAATATTAATAAAGAGAATCGGATGTCTATAATAAAAAAAATGAAGAAGATACTTTATACATCTTCAGGTTCAGAAATGAAAATATATTATAATGAGTTTAAGGAAAGCTTTTATCGTGCTTGTCTCCTTTTACAAAAATATTTTGAACAATTATATAGTTATTGTTGCTTTTGGGCTTTATTATTTCATTTAAGATTGCCTATATGTGGGAATCATATAAACAATTATGTTGAACGAAGGTTTGACATATTAAAAGACATAGTTTTTGCAAGAACACAGATATACAATTCTGTGCAAGTGTTTCAGTTCATAGTTAATAACATGAAAAGATTTTATTAATGATAATTACTTGAATTAGCACATAGATATTCTGGATATTTACGTCTTGCAAAACATTTTTTATATTCTGGTTAGAAAACTGTAGATATAAATTCTATCAAAGAACAAATTCAGAGCATGAATTTTTGATACCAAGTATAAAACAAGATACTGATTTTGTTTATATTATAAATAGTGAAATCAGAACATGTTCTTGTGCTATTGGCATATATGATGCATCTTGCAAGTACTAAGAAGCAGTTGCGATGAAATTTCATATCACAATTTTTATCTTTTTAATATCACTAATACCTAATGAACCTAATAATCATATACTTTATGCATATGTTACACTTTGTAAATAAACCAGTTATTTTAGTTTTAGTTAAAAATTTCTGATTAACTTTTGTTTACTTTTTTAGATTATGTGGTAAATAATAGTTTTTTTATGCAACTTTACATTCAGGATTTATTTTACAAGATCAAAATGTATTATAAACAAATATGGAAATATCATCAGTTTTTATCAAAAGTTTGTATATTTTTTTTATTTTATTTTATTTTATTTTATTTTATTTTTATTATTGCATTAGAGAATTATATTGAAAATATAAAATTGAATTTTTTTTCTTTAATCTTATAGAAAGACAAATGAAATGAATGAAGAAACTGATACTTCTTCATTTATTGCTTTTTTGGAAGAAATAAAAGCAGATTACCAAAATTCCAATTTATAATTATATACTGCATTAGATAAGTTTATGGATCGATATCATGCAGTAAAATCAAAATCTATTTTTTAACTAGTTTCTTTTCTTTATGATCTTAATCAAAATGTTGATTTAACAGTTTGTATCAAAAGTGGTTTAATAATTCATGTGCAAGCTAAATCTATTAAATGACGTAAAACTGGATCAAAAGGAGCTAAGCGAAAACTACCTAGCATTATTAATAAAACAAAGGAAAATTTAGATCCACATGTTATTCCTTGTTGAAAAAAGAGTAAAAATGGTAAAAAAGAACATTGTTTAAGCAAAAATATATTAAAAATCAGGCTGAATCAAAGGTATGTATTTTATTTATCATTTGCTTTTTATTTGTTGTTATTTTGGCATTTTATTATATTTAAAACCTTAACAATAGAAATTTTATTTTATTTTTTTAATAAATTTATAATATACTTAAAATTTTTTAAGTAATTTTAATATATTAAAATTTTAAAAATGATAATTAATCCATATCAAGAAGTATCATTAACCTTTATTTCTTTAAAACTTTAATAAATACATTCTTTTTATTAAATAAAAAAAAATATATTCGGCTATTAGAAATAATAGAAAGGTAAAAATTACTGGCAATGTATAAAAATTATAGTAATATGTACAATAAATATATAAATCTTCGGTATATATATGCAAGAAATTTGTCTGACTTTGAAATATAATTTGTTGAAAATTCTGTGTATGTCATAAACAATCAGCTGCGCCACCTATATCAAGGCGTAACCTGAAGGAGACACGTCAATTTCAATAAATTTTTTCCAAAATAATTTATTCCCAAATTTATTCAATTTTTGACATTGAATCATGAATTATAATTGGTTAAATTGGTTAATTACATTTGAACAGGCCTATAGTTAAATTTGAAATAAAATAAAAAATTAATGTTATCTGCGATAAAAATGTTGCCACGTTTTAATAGTTTTTCATATATAGTAAAATGGATAGATAAATTTTTGCCACGTTTTCATATCGAATTTTTTTATAAATATAAAAAAAATCGTTCGAGATTTGAGGTATTTTTCATTTTTCGGTTTTTAAAAAAAAAAAAATTAAAAAAAAAAAAAATGAAAAGATACACTGTTTTTCTTGCAGCAAGTATTTTAACCTTATCTACTATTTCTCTAGCAGAAGTATATTTAAAAGAAACGTTTACTGATGCAGAGTGGGAAAAGGTATATATATATTTTTTAACGGGGACCTTTTTTCTTATTTTTAAAATTCTGACAAGTTCTTCCTCTTTTAATTAATAGCGTTGGATACAATCTAAACATCAAGATAATCTTGGAAATTTCACAGTATCCTCAGGAAAATTTTATGCCGATGAAATAGAATCTCGTGGATTAAAAACTTCACAAAATGAAAAATTTTATGCAATTTCGAGTAAATTCGACAAAACAATTGATAATTCTGATAAAAATCTTGGTAATTAATATATATCCTGGTTTATTTTTCGAATCATCGTAAATCAAAGCATTAATAATTGGTTTTTCTTTTCCTCTAAAGTTGTTCAATTTTCGGTTAAACATGAACAGGGTATCGATTGTGGTGGAGGTTATGTCAAGGTATACTCTCAGTTTATCATTTTTATTTATCAAGGAGTACAAGGTATAATGAATCCAATTTTTTTTTTTTTGCATTCAGCTTTTGCCACCCGACTTTGATGCCCTTGATTTCAAAGGAGAATCTCCGTATAATATCATGTTTGGAGTAAGTATATCAAGGATTTTAATTGGACAGTTATTATTCACGTGTTTCATGTGATTCATCATGTGATTGCTTTTTATCACTTTTATAGCCCGATATTTGTGGAGGAACTAGAAAAGTTCACGTAATTTTAAATTATGATAATGAGAATAAACAAATTAAGAAACAAATTAATGCTCCTTCAGATCAATTAACGCATTTATATACTTTTATATTAAAACCTGATCAAGTAAGTATTCAAACATATTTTATATATAAGCAACTATATTTAATGAAACTAATATTTTTGATTTTAGACTTATGAGGTATTGATTGATGATAAAGAAGAAGCTTCTGGAAAATTAGAGGAAGATTTTGATTTAATTCCTCCAAAGGATATTATCGGTTAGTTTCTTTTCACAATGAATTTTGAATTGTTGACTATTTATATATATATCTTTTTAAAAAAAAATTTATTTATTTTAATTCCAGATCCGGATGCAAAGAAACCTGAAGATTGGGTTGATGAGGCAAAAATTCCAGATCCTGATGATAAAAAACCAGATGATTGGAAAGATGTTCCACCAACAATTCCTGATCCTGAAGCAGAAAAACCAAACGACTGGGATGGTAAATAAAATACCTTTTTTTTTTTCGATAAATTTTCATCTTTCTTATTCGAAAATATTGAATTTTTAATTATAGATGATATGGACGGAGAATGGGAACCACCACACATACCAAATCCAGAATATCAAGGAGAATGGAAACCAAAAATGATTGATAATCCAAATTATAAAGGTCCATGGAATGCACCATTAATACCAAATCCTGCATATAAAGAAGATAAATTACTTCACGCGTATAAGACTTCTTACATCGGTTTTGATTTGTGGCAAGTTAAAAGTGGTACAATATTTGATAATATTTTAATTACTGATGATATTGAAGAAGCCAAAAAATTTTCAAACGAAACTTTTATAAAGTATCGTGATGCAGAATTAGAGGCTAAAAGAAAATTAGATGAATTAGAAACCAAGGAGACAACTTCAAAAAAGGTCGAAAAGGAAAAGATTGTTGAAGCTGATGATCTTGATGATCTTGAAGATCTTGATGATATCATTGACCTTGATGTTAAGATTCAACCTGATGGTCAAGTTCAAGTAACAACGCCTGATCCCGCAAACGATTTACCACAAGAACCAAAAATTGTTCAAGATACACAAAAACAAATACCAATTCAAGAAGAAAAATCTACCAAAGACGAAAATGATAAACTCTCTGATGATAAAAAACAAAATGAAGAACTTGAGGCAGAAAAAGAAAGTGATGATAAAAAACCAACCAGAGATGAATTATAAATTATTTAATTATTTTAGAATATTAGAATATTTAACTTTCCAAACCATTGATTTATTTTAAATAATTTAGCCTTATCATTATAAAAATTAATAAAATTTTTTTAAATTTGTTTGTGTACCATTAAAATTCATCAAACAAACTATGTTAACAATTAAATTACAAGGTTATGAATTTTTATTTTTTATTATTGAAATGCGACATCAAATTTCTCTGCTACTACTTTACCACCACCGCTTGCAAAACCAGTACCTAAGAAAAAACATATATTGTTAATTAAAAAATTTGTGAGAATAAGTCTATTTATACAAAATATGTATTACCTTCTCCTGACATATCAGCAATATCCTTGTCTCTACATTTAGCATCACATACGAAACATTGTTTAGTTTTTCTAACAAGTCTATCAACACAGATTTTACAAATAACATGCCCACATGTTTTCATTACTAATAAATTTGACAATATAATTAATTGATTATAGAGAGAATTTTTTTTGAAAGTCGAACGCAAAATATATTTAAAAAAAAAAAAAATACTTACAACATATTTTTAAAGAATTTGTTAAAGTTTTACGACATGAAGGACAAATTAAATTTATCGTTTTAGAAGTAGGATCTTTATCCTCTGTAAATTTTGTAGGAATCAAACTTTTCATACTAGATATCAAATAAAACAAATTTTAGCAAATTATTTACAAACAAAAAATTATCCATATAAATAAATTCAGCATACTTAATTGAATGTTCCGGATTTGCGGCAGTACACATCGTTTGCTGTTTTACCTGTTTTACCTTATCTGGCTCTGCAGATGGTGTAAGTGAAGGCTAGAATAAATTTAATTCACATTAAATTTTAATATATGTTGATATTTGTTTAATAATAATAATAAAGTATAAAACACACCAGCCAAAAATTAGGTAATTTAGGTTTTGACGCGAGAATCTAAAAAACAATAATGATGAAAAAATAAATAAAATAAATCGATCATTATCTAAAAATAAAAATTAAAGAATTTACTCTTTCTTCTTCCAACTTTTTTAATGCGTCCTCTTGTTCCCTTTTTGCTATAGCTGCAAGTTCTTCTTCATCGATTTGAAACTTTCTCTTTTTACCTATAAATTATTTAAAAACACGATTAATCATCAACCCTTCAAAAAAAAAAAATAAATAAATAAATACCGATTACCACCTTTATGAAATGATTCGATCCATTCAATAGCTTTAACAGGATTATCTTCGATTCTAGCACTTGCAGGATATTTTTCAACATCAGTTTTTTTTCCTGGTGCATTACTTTCACTTAATAAAGATCCATTAATTTTTGATTTGACTTCTCCAGTTCCATTATTACTCGTTGTAATAGGAGTGATTCTAACTTGTTGTCTTTCGAATTCTTGAATTACGGCTTCTTTAGCTAACTCGGCTTTTCTTTTGTCTTCTTCTTCTTCATCTTTTGCTTTGGCTTCTAATAATTTTTGTTGACGTAGGATTTCTTTTTTTTGTGCCAAAATATTTTCCAGAATACATTCTCTACAGTATAAATGACCTTGTGTACAACAAACTGGATCCCTAGCTCTTTGAAGACATAAGTAACAGGAATCATATTCTCTCATAGAATCTCGTCCTAGTCGTTGCTATAAAGTTATAAAAAGCTCGACAGTTTATATAATAGATCAGAGTTTAATAGATTGATTTTATTTATTTATTTAATCAAATACCTTTTTTGTTCCATAATCTAATGCTTTACCCTCTGCATAGGTAAAGAAGGAAAGTGCAGTATTATTTTTACTATGTCGAGGCATTATATTAAAAGTGGTTTTATGTAGAAGGTTATCCTTTTTTATATTTTTAGTTAGATCTTTTATATTTATCTTTATTAACCCAAATTTTTTTTTTTTATCTTGGTTACGTATCTTTTATGTTATCATTCGAGTTTTGAACCTTAAAGTAAATAAAAAATAAAGAAAACAGTTAAAAAATACCACTTCCGATTTACTTACCTTAGTGTATTCCTAAAGAATTTAAATAAAAAATAAAGAAAAAAAGGTTACCTTAGTTTCGGAAAGAGAATTTCCTTTGATTTACTTATTACCTTAATTCCAAAATGAGAACTTTTCTAAAAAAAAAAAAAAACAAGGAAAGAGGAAAAAAATTTTCAAAAGTTTATCAGTTTATATTATAAATTGAACTAAAATTTTGACTAATCTGACATTTAGTTATTATTCATTAAAAACTATTTTTTATAAATGTTTTAAATGCATCATCCAATTGGGAATGATAATCATACAATAATGATAAAATTGTTTGAAAGGAATAATAATTTAATCATTCTTTAAAAATAATAAAAAAATCATTCTAAAGAAATAATGATATATCATTACTTATGAACAATAAAAAATAATTGTTCTTTAAAAGAAAAATGAAATATATTATTCTTTCGAAATGATTATATTTCATTTCTTAAGAATAATAAAACAAATTGTTTTAAAGAAATAATTACCATATTCTTTAAAAATAAGCAACATATTTTTGTTATAATATTACTTATTTTCAGGTAATTCAAAATAAAAAAGAATATACAGTTTTAAAGTCTTAGTTAAATGTTTTAAATATCATTAATTATAGTAGGTTTTCATTTATAGCTTTTCAATAATTATTATGTTACATTTTAATAAAATGAATATTTTGCTATGTCTGATATAAAGTTTTAAAATTTAGCATTATTCAAGTGGCTTATCAAATCTAAACTGTTTGACAATGCTTAAAGAATTTAGGAAATGATATGTAAATCATTATATAATCATATTATTGATTATATATATAAAGTCATATTATATCAGTTTAGTATAACAAGTAAAAAATACCAAAAGTTTCTACTTATTATAAAGTAAAAAAAAAGTTGTTAAATTTAAATAAACTTCATATTTTATAAAATAGAAGATAAAGATTATTACATATATGAAGAAATATAAATTTGATATTAATTATAACATAGTAAAATGTTTATATACTAAAAAGCAAGCAAAATAAGCGAAATATTTCTGGTCAAAAAGCTTTATTTTCTAAAGCTGAATATCACTGTAAAGTCAACAATTTCATAATTTAAGATATAGTAATACATACGATAAAGATCAATAAAATATGACAAAATACAAGATAAAAATCACATAATAAATAAAAATATTATTTTATTAAAGAAAGAAGAATACTCAAATAAATTATGACACAAAATAAAAGGTTATATAAGAAGAATAAATTTTGGAAAGAAATAATTTGGATAAATTAGTTACCAAAAAAGAAAGGATAATTAAAGAACTGAATAGAAAATTAAGAAATCAGATAAATAATGAACTGAATAGAAGGTCTTATAGAAAGACTTAAAAAATTATATTTGAAGAAATAATACAAATATACAGAAAGGTTATACAAAGAATATAATGGTTAAGAATGATAAACTAGATCTCATAAAAGTTTGTATAATATTAAGGTAACACATGATCTTAATATGAAAAATGTTATAAGAAAAAACCAATAGAAAAAGAAAAAGGAAATATTAAAATAATAAAGTAACATATGATATTATAATAGAAAAGTTCTATAGAAAACTATAAAAATAGAAATATATAATTTTTACTAATTCTGTTCTTTTATAATTTCTAAGTAGAATTAGTAAAATTAAAAGGAATAAATAGAAAAAAATAGGAAATAGTAAAGTAAAAAATAGTAGAAATAATAAGAATTATAGAACTATAAACTAGAGCTCCGAATCAGGTCAGGTCAACCTGTGACCCGACCCGACCCGACCTGAAAAATCCAGGTCAGGTAGACAA